AGGGAGAGAAAGATTGTTCTCCCTATTGACAACAGGCAGAATGGTATCTATTCTTTGGCATGGAAAAAGAACCAGCTGAAAGTCCCTGCCCCGGCCCTACAGAAGTTCAAACATTGAGCTTGTGCCACAGAAACCATGCCACACCTGCCTTCCAAATGTTGGGGGGTTTTTCTAAGCTTTTGGTGCAGCAGTGCACCTTCCCTCTTCCCACCCCATTACTTGATCCTTCTGCACCAAAATCCTTCCAAAAATCATCTATGCTCTTATTCAAGCTTCCCCTCTCCCCCAGAGGGTTGTTTTGATGCCCTGTGTGTATACATGCACTGCAGATGATTAGAGGCTTTCTGGGCTCCCCCCCACCCCAGTCCCAAACTACTAGAGCAGAGCAATTTCCCCTTCACTAATTCCAATGATTTCTGAAGCAGAACCCATTCTGCAGAATTAAACCTGTGTCTGGAAGAATCTGGGTAAGGAGGGGATTAAGAAGGAAGAGCATTTCATCTACAAGATCTTGGACCACATGACACACGAAGGTGGCAACTGTGGTTCTAGACCTAAATGTCTGCTGGTCTTAACCCCAAGTGGCCTTTGTATTTCATTAACAGAAAAAAATGTAGTGAAGACCAGTACTTGAACTACACAAACACCTGTCAGTGCTTCAATCCATGGAAAGAGCCCAACTTCTTCCTCCCTCTATACACTGCAACACTTCTATATGCCATTCCAAAATACGGATTTTAACTCCCAAAGCATATAAAATGCTGCTTTTCAGAGAAAATATTCATTCATGATCAAATCCAGGTTCAAACAGATATTAGGGCATGCTAGAGATCTAAAGTGACCACATAAAGCCCAGAAAAGACAGATCACCATGGAAACATTTATTAGCATTCCAACAGTTCAGGATGCAATTCAATTATCAGCACTTTACAAAAGTACCTAAAGCAGGATACACAGAGCATAGACAAAGTCATTTGATATTTAAAATAGTAAAAAATCCTGTTTAAGATGTTCAGAAGTTTGAATTTATAAAATACAAGCATTCTTTCTATGAGAAGCCTATAAAGATAAAGCTCGCCCCTACTAGTGCTTTCCTAAGTAGTTACACTTTAATATGTCCAGTTAGTTTTGAGAAGGTTCTGTGCTTCACATTTATTATCTTGATAATTCAAGAAAGCCTTCTGCAGCTGTAGTTATTATAAAGTATCACCAACTCTACTGGAATATGGTATCTGAACACTTAACAGTAATGCCTCTGGCTCAAATTCAGTCAATACTAGCTCTTTGAATTAAACGCACACCACATTTAAAGATTTGCTGCTTCTTTTACAGGTTTAATAGAAATTGAAATTTCTTTAATCCAAAATTTGGAACTTTGCTATTCAAGTCCTAAATTAACATGGAAAAATTAGTACTTGTTTGGGGTTTTTTTAATTTTTTTTTTTTTTTTTAACAAAGCAGAACAGAAGATAGAGCTGGCTCTTACACAGCAACCACAGAATTAAGAGACAGTTGCTAGGGAAGTAAAATTCAGTAATTGTTAAGTTTGACTTCAATATTAGATGAATGTGAGTTGCTGTTGCCTTTAAATGGTTATTAGTGTATCAGAGTGCTTGATCACTTAAGTATCTGATTATTCAGGACATTAGCTAAAAACTCTGAAGCCATAATTGCCAAGTTATCATCACAAACACTTTCAAAAAGAACCTTTAATAGCAACAAATAAGAAGTTCCAGTTTCAATTGCAACAATGTTTGACAGCACCTCTATTACAGCAAATTTTTGCATTAAGATACGCACCCAAGATTCAGGTGTTTGAGCTTCTGGAGACTGCTAATCTGTGTAGGCAGCTCCTCAATCTGGTTGTTGAAAAAGTTGAGCACTTCTATGTTTCTCAGGTCCGCGATGTTTGCTGGCACAGCTGTGGAAAAGTTTTCACAGTGAGAGACTGCAATTAGAGCAAGTTACCTAGACTATAGATGCTCTGCTGGCTCCTGTCTTTTGCCCTCTTTGTACAGTGGCTGATGGTAGAAACAGCATCTAATAGCTATCGCAATAAAAGCAAAGTTTGTATCAAAAAAGTCTCCTATCTGGAATCTGTTCTCATTGCTGAGAGCAGTCACTTTGTACTCTTCAGAAATTACTACCAGTATTGTAAGGTATTTTGACTAACAAAGACCACTGCAGAGAGAATGCTCTCAGAGTAACAAAGAGAAGCAGGGCTTCCTCTGTGTTCGTGTAGCACACACTGGTCTCAAAGGAGCAGAGCTTAAGAGACTCAGATCATGTCGTTATTTGAGTTGAAAAAAATGAATGATACAAGCAGTTACACTAAGGTAACATTTTATTAAGGGTCTTAAATAGCAAAGATGAAATAAAAACTCATTTTTAGCGATGGCCTATTCTGCTTACTGCTTAAGTAATCTAGCATCCAAGTTTTTGTCCATTTAAGATTCAACAAAATTCACAAAAATTTAAGTTCAGCCCTAAAAGATGAACAGTTAGCCAAGCCCTCCCATGATTGAATAACTGATCAATACACATACATGTTTACATTGGATTAGCAACAAATCAATACCTGGTTACTATCTAGAAACATGAAAAGTAAGGCAGTAGCACAATATGAATATGCCTGTGCAGATGAGGTTAAAAAGCTAGTCAGATTTGCATCTTTTCACCCTTAAACTTAGTGAGATTTAAGCAGACAGCTGAGGTTTACATAGAGGTTGGCAAATCACCTGCACTGAAGCTTGCACCTGTGTTCAATATTCACCTTGGTTCAGTCTCAACTTTGACTGCACATCTAAACAATTAGAAGTTTTTATGAGGCCATGATTTTCTTTTATTTGTTGGCATGAGGCAATCTCAGTCTTAAAATGGAGTCAATAATGTTTACAAAGCAGATCATTATAGTATGTCACATTTACTAGATTATAAGCCTAATTACATTGTGAAAAATAACAGGATCCCTAACAAACACTCTAATTACACTACATAAATATTACTGTTGAGGGTCATGTTCATTGTAGGAGATTTTTAGCATACTTTTTTTATAAAGTCATTAAGGCAAATCTGAACATTTAACAGCCCTCCTTTGTGGTATTTTCCAACTGGTCCATGCGTATCTCTCACTCAATGATGGCAAGTGTTATGTGCCTTCAGAAAGTAGAGAGTAACGTACTACTACTGTTGTTTTAAACTATTCCCTAAGAGAAGTTAACTGAGGATTTTAATTGACAAAATTCAGCTGTTTCCAGCCTCAATATTTCACCAGAACAATAGTTACCAGTATTAAAACATTTTCCTTTCAGAAATTAGACTTTATAATTTGACTTGGATGAGATGGCAAACCATGTTTCTGCCTTCTCAAACATATACTATGTTTATGCAAGACTAGGAATCAGAAGTACTAGCAAATACAGGTTTTAGTTTAGTCAAAGCCTAAACAATACAGAGACCAAATACAATTCTCCTGAAGTTACACTGTTGATGCAATTACTAAAAATTTGGTATGAAGGTTTCGGCCTTTTTTGGCAGTGTAAGAGATTACACTCTCCAAGAAAAAACAGTGCAACTTAACATCACAAGTTATGCTAAATGCAATGCAGAGCTCTGTTGCAGGAACACTGAAACAAGAGCCTGACATTCAGGAGGCCAGACTTACCAAGCCTGCAGTCAGCTTGGCTGCCTATGTGTCAATTCCGTGTTTCAATTATTCAGGCTGAACACCATCACAAAATGATAAAGAAATTAAGAAGCTATTAGCCAAGACACTGAAAGTGTTCTCAAAGGCAACTAAAAAAGTCTATCTTACACCAGGGACAATACTATCACCACAAAGACAGGAAGCCCATGAAACTTTTTTGATCTTGCTGTGAGGCTGGACTACAGAAACCGTCAGACTACAGAGACAATTTGTTAATGCTACTCTCATGCGAGGAAAATCAGCAATACCTGACATGCGTTTCAGTTAACGGGCACCTTAGATTTAGTCAGTACTACTCACAGTGGATTTAGTTACCTAATGACCTCTTGGATCATGGAGTAGCAGTAAAGCTGTTCTGCATCTGTGAACAGACCACAAGATGGAGACAAGTACCCTCCAAGCAGCCTGACAGAGTCCAAACAATAAGTGACATCAAAGCAAAAAGCTGGACGCTGTTACTGAGCTACCTTGAACTAGCAACACTGATTTAGTGGATGTGTCCTTTCAAATACCTGTCCAAACCAGCTTGTTTCCCCCTTAAGAATAAATGAACTCTTAAGCTTGTACCTCACTTCTGACTTAAGCTAGGAGACTGTGGAGAGATGAAGAATCATTTCAAAGAAGAAAGTGAACAGACATCTTAATTTAAAAAAAAAAAAACAACAAACAACAACAAAAAACCCCAGAACCAAACCAAACCAAAAAACCACAAACCAAAAAACCAATCAGAAAAACCCCATGAAACTACCTGGAAAGAGATGACACCTAGACATCAAGATAGGAAGAAAATGGCTTCCAGAGATTTGTTCATGACGATTACACTTGCACTGAAGATCACACCATCAAAAGAGAACCCTAGTTTCAATGTGTTATTACACAGCTGAAGTTCTCAAATTCTGCCTGCTCATCCCACTCACAAACACAGGGCAAAAACTCAACCTCCATTGGCTAGTTTACCAGAGGTTTTTAATTTGGTTTTCTTTTGTCAGGGCACAGGTGTGAGTAAGTGTCCCTAGTGAACAATAGGAGCTGTGTCCTTGCACACAGTCCGCTAACTTTCTGATATATCTGTATAATTCCCACATACTGTATTTCATGTTGTGAATCACATTCAGGATACTTTATATCATTATTTTCTTCAAGCCATACTAAAAGCTGCATGGGTAAGCAGGCTGAAATGAGAAAAAGGATAAAAATTTAGCAAAGGATTTGGATGAAATACTTTGTGTCTCACTCCGTTAAATCAAAATAAAAAGCCCCAATCCACAATTGCTTTTTTTTGGTTTGGACAGAGAGGCTGGAGGTATTTCGTGAGAAGGAAAAACCAGAAGAGTAACTCAAGACCAGGCTTGTGGGAGGGGAGAGAGGACTTTTTCCTGTAACAGCTTATTTTCTGGTTCAACAATTCAGGTTCATTTGTAATATGAATGAATGCTCTCTTGGATTCAAAGAAAAACAGAAGACCAAAATTAACTCCTGTACTGGTCTTGTAACTAAACTGCACAGGTTCCGTACCTTCAGGTCTAAAGATCAGCAGTGGTCAAGCAAGGTTGACTAGGCATATAATGTTCTCTGTTCTGAACTTCACACGACTAAGTGAGTCCTGACTACCATCCCACTGTTACGTTGCAAAATTCTTTCCAGATATATAGCAGACTGCCAAATACCAAGAAATTCATGTTCTGGCAATACCGAATTCCACTCAAGTCACCTTCTCATGATGAGCGGTGAGAGTGAACCGTCAGCATCCTGGTTCCGTTCACCCACATATTTACAGTACGATCCACAGTGTCTTAACAACTCTTCTAAGACCATCTGCTGCCCAGTGTCATTAACAACTAAACTCCCCCTCAGCAAATGCTAGTAAAATTTGGCAGCCCACTGCTTTTGCATTCTCCTGTGAAGCTTCAGTCACATCATGAAGCCCCATTCATAGTAAGCCTCACTTCACAAGACCAGGAACGGCATCCCTCCCCTTGTTCAATACTGGAAATCGCATACAGTGATTCATTATGACAGCTACAGACTTCACCTTGATTTCAAGAGCTTGGTTGAGAGCGAAAGAGAGGGTCTAGAGGCTGCATATCAAGGAATAAGAGGACTTTGTTCATGCTTCTGGAAATAAGGATTGGCAACTTGTTATACTTCAAAGCTTTTAAAAACAAATATGCTCTTTTTTGCCCTGAAGTTAGTGGCAATTCTTTAGGAACTAAAATATATTCTCAATAGAGCAGCCTTTCACTCAAAGCAAGTTATTAAATTTTATTCCTACATAAGCAGCAGCTGTTCAAAAGTTCTAATATGATTTCCGAAACATACAGAAGAAGGATTAAACATTACTATTCAATGCCTATATATAACTCCACACCTAAGTATCCTGGATCTAGACCTTAGTTTTCTCTCCACATCAAGAACCAGAAGCCAACACTAGACATCTGTCTTTACTAGAGTTCTGATGTTTCCCTCTGTTGGAGAACAGATACTGGGTGAGATGGACCTTTTATCTGAGACAGCTATCATGCAGAGAAACATGCTAAGAATATTTAAATCAGTTAAAGCAGCTTGGACTTACAAGTGTCTCAGATGTAACCCTTTCTCATAAAGCAGGTAGTTAAGTGGTTCTCATACCATTACTTATCACTGACATCTAGATCCAGCTCCTTTTGTACACCCAACCTCTGACAAAGGAGGAAGAACACAGAAAATGGAAGAGGAGAAAAGGAGGTGCAGTTCCACTCTGCCACTCTTTAGTCATTCATCTAGGTTTCAATACAATTCCTCTTGTGGTGGCACGGCCCTTCATGCAGCTGAAAATGCACAGGTTTTCTGATAAGTGTCTATTTCTGCAAATGATCTCCAGGATTGTTTCTCTTAAATCTTCCATGAAGCACTGGAAAACAACAGGAATCCTCACAACTTTAAAAAAACTCAGGTGTTTGCAAGATTAAGTCTCCATTTGCTTTTCAACTAAAAGATGAAATCTAGTCTGCTTTATTGTATTTAGTAGGTACCGACATTAAACCAAACATTTCTGAAGACACTTTTAATAAAAAAAGACCCATATAAAAATTTACAAATTAAAACTAAAATAAAAAACATTTTAGACAAGGACACTCAGATGAAAACTCTGACAAGAGTCAATAAACCACCCAACTGAACAAGTGAAACGATTTTGTAAAAATGTAAGTCTCCATGAGAGGAACACATGGTATGTA